AGATTGGGGGATCAGCGAGAGGGGTAAAAACGATGGCACCCCACCTCTTACTCTCTTTCTCTTTCTCTTTGCTACTCTCTTTCTTTCTCCTGGAAAGCTTCGTCGCTGAAGGAAACCGACGTAACAGGAACGAACCACGCGGCGAGACAGAGAAAGGGTGGGGAAGAAAAAGAGAAGGAGAGAAAGAGACAGAGAGACGGAGAGCCATGCCGGCGGTGCTGCTAGTCAAACCAAAACTCGGCATGATTAATGATCGCGAGAGAGGCAGAGCGCTGCTTCAAACAACAAACTTTTCCCAAGGAACGCCGAAGAATATAAGAAAAAATATATAAGAAAGAGGGAACTCTCTTTCTTCGCATCCACCCTTCAGACCAACTAATACCCTCCTAGAGCTCTTTCTCTCCCTCTATTTTGCCTCGCTTCTCCACGACCGTTCGCCTCCGCTCTGACAGCCTTTCATTTCTTTTCTTCATTCTTTATTTTCTTCAACCCGGTCTTCCGTCGCCGTGCTCTTTCCCTACTCTCTTTCGCATCTCTCACTGCGATGCGACTTCGCGCGATCAACACACCCCCGCCATACGCTTCCTCTCGCGTCCAGTTTGCCTCTCGTTGACGCAAGAGAGTATAATGCTCGATGCCACGAAAAACTCCTTTCGGACTTTCGTTCCGTATTCTCTCCACGTGCTTGACAGAACATCGAGAAAAAATGACAAGAGTGGATGCTCTTTGATGACGATCGTACTGCGTAGATGAGGATCTGTGACAAAGATGACACAGGTCTTTGAGGATAGTTTGAGAAGCGTACGTTCTCCATTTTGAACAGCATCGATAAAGTTCTGCAGCGTTGTTTCAAGTACTTTTTTCATTATCTTCAATTGAAGAATTCTTCTTGTATTAGATAATTTATGATCTGCATCAGACAGATATTTATATGAACTCATTTACGATAGTAACACAGATACGAATGTACATGTGCATTCATTCGTTTGTATCGTTGATAAATTTCATGTGTCAAAGAGATAATTGTCGAACATGATACAGAAAAGAAAACTGCTCAGGTGTAATTTTCCGAACATCTAAAATTAACTTTTACTGCAACAGAATTCTAATTATACGAACTGCAACTACTGGAATAGAATTATAGTTAGTATTCAATTAAATGAATTTCTGCTGATTGAATTCGTTCATCCAAACTCTCTTTGGATTGATCTCTTCGAAGTCGCACAAAATTTCCATCATGCATTCTCCAGTTATATACACTATTTATCTCCTGATACGTTTACACAAAGTATTTACACATCATTATAAATTTATAAATTTCAGACTTCATCCTGTTCACCTTACCTCGAACCTCTCATTTTCGGATACTTCGTTGCCAGCGTCGTTCTGCAACTACCCAGTCATCAAATACTGATTTTCAGGATGTGTGTACCCGCACCTGGCGGTCAAATTGGATCGTCGACGCCTCGGCAGAACGGGCAACAGAGCGTCACCGGTGCGGCTGTTTCGTGCTTCACCGCGCGTCCGCTCGAGCCTAGAACCTTCAGGATGAATCTGCTCGGTCATCGTCGGACGGCTGAACGCGGACAGCGTGTTCGGCGTGTGTAACAGTAACTTTCTCTCTCCTCTTTGTGGCCGCGGGCCCGTTCTTCCGTATTTACGTACACTCTCGAGACCACGTGCACGAACACCGGTCGAATAATAAACACTTATTAGCTGGCTACCATTTGCGGCCGATTCACTTGATGAGCGTCATTCTCGAGCGTTATCCATAGCATTGTGTCGCGAATCAATTGGCGGCTCGGAGTCCTCTCTCGTCGGCTTCGCGGCGGCTTTCGGGCCGAAGAAGAAATCGAGGATGAACGGAAACGACGACGCGTTTCGAAAGAACGCGGCACGAATATGTGCAGATTACCCACTGGCAACGCGCGAGAGAGACACACTGAATCCACAAGCTCCTCGTTTCTATTCTTCCATTCGATATTTTGTAGACTTGCGAAAATTTTCGTATTTCATAGTTTCTACGATCTTCCAAAATTCGATCTTCGAGCATTCGATGCTTGGAAAGGACGTGACACGAACGAGTATAAATTACGTGCTTGCAGTTCAACAAACGAGTTTCTCGTTTTGTTCCGTTCTCCCATTTTTGTAATACTCTTCCAAGGTTTTTTTAAATGTTCGAAAAATTAGCAATTTCGCGCGCGAGGGTTTTCGTGATTCTCAAAATTTTTTCGAGTGTATTCGGCATCTCGAAGCTGAAGGATCGCCAAGGCGAAATGACAGGATATTAATCGCGTTACGTCGGTACCATTTCGAGTCAATTCACCTGATGAGCCTCATTCTTGACCGATAATCGCAGCGAATGGACGAGATCCATGTAAATCTTGTACAGAGCTCTCTCTCCCCTGCCTGTTCATCTTCTTCTTTTTCTTCTTCTTCTTCTCCTTCTTCTTCCACGACGGATCGGAATATATGAAGAAGCTATGAGACGCGCGGGCGCGCACACGCCTCACGATGACTAATGACAGACATCGTAAGTCACTCACAAATTGAATTAAACGCGACGGTAAAACCGTGACGCGGCGCAAACAATCAGCGGCTATTCATTGTCGGAAATCGGGTGCCATGTTCTGGGACTCACGGTCGCGGAACTATGTTTATACATTGTCCATTCTGTTTTGTCGCCTTCTAATTGTTCACTGTAATCGTATTCTAATATCGCATTTTAGCTGTACAGTACCGGCCAGAAGTTTGAGTACATTTATACTACATTCGTATTTCATTCTTCGTTTAATGCTTCGTTTATGTATCAATTCCTACATATTTTTCGGCTGTGTGCAATGACAGGCATGTTTGTTTTGTATACACACACAATGTACTAAAACATTTTAAACGATATTATAGTAGAAGATTTATTACCTATTTCATATATACAACTACCTAAACATTATATTCTATAATGTATAATGGCTGCAGAAAATATTTTCATACACCCTCATTTTCTAATGCAGATTATTTTTAATAGATTGCACACTCCATTTTCGTAATAAGAATTTTTTAAAGTTGTACGAAAGTTATTCGAATGATATATATTTAATATATTTGAACCCAATTAAGTAGTGGATATACAAATCTCATAATAGATGCTGTGATGTGCAAATAATTTCTGTAACCACCAAATATCGACGTATCATTGTACCTACCTACTCGTCGAAACACGCCATCCACTATAACTTTGACAAATAGTACATAGAGTTTTTACCGAGCAAATATTCGTAAAATATAAAACACTTTCTGGAGGTACTTCAGTCACTAATGCACGCAATAAGAAGGCCGCAGGAATCAAATTTATTACCGCTGGAAAGTTCAGATTGAGGCACGGTTTGCGATACGAGCAACTGTCAGGCCTGTGCAACGGCCAGGCCGTTGGAAATCGAGCAAAACCATTTTTTCCCCGAGAAGAACACGACTGGTTGGCCGCGCGATGGATTCCGGTTAACGCTGTACGGGCATGATGTTCCGCTCGGTCTTCTTGATCGATCATATATTAGAAGGTACGAAGTGTTTCAGTACACCTACAATGCCGCGAAGACGGGACGATCCATCGTCAATGAACGTCGGAATTACACGGCTAAATGAGATTCTAGCGGCGGTATCAAAGTGGCAGCAGGTGGTCAGGGCCACGGCCATTTTTTCCCGCTGGATACGCTTTGCTGGCTGCCTCGCAAGCCCACCAAGCACCTCTGTCTTCCTTCTGCCTTGCAAAATCGTGAAACGATCCCTCGCGGACGATGAAGCTAGCCACGATTTCCTACTTTGATTTGCATTTTCTTCGACATTTTTTTCTCTTTAACTTTTTCTGTTGGTTGCTTTGAAGAATGGGTCGTTTATCAGTTCCACGTGGTTTTTTTTTACGCGGAAAGAAAGTCGTGGTAATTATAGAAAAATTTATCATAAATTAATGTCGTAGGTAGAATGTAAATCGAGGAGTGAAAGACAGAATATTGTATTGGTTCCATTTAAGTAGATCAGGTAGAGTAGATCAGACAATGGATTAATACGATGTAATTTTAGTTTCTTCTTTTTCTTTCATTTTGTCATTTTTGAAAAAAATTTCAGGTAGTCGGACCGCATTCGACGCCATTTTATACGAAATGCTGGTCCATTCTGAAGCCTGCTAATTATCTTGCCCCGTGACTTACCAGCGGTAACACTTCTAACCTAAACCTAACCTAAACCAATGGGCTGAGCATCCTCCTGGCCTAGGCTAGAAATGGTCACGTAAGACGCCGGAACCATCTTGCCTGTTCCATTTTTTCCCCTACTTTTTTTTTTTTTGGCTCGCCTAGAACCAGCAATTAATTATATTTCCGACCATTTTTCTAACCCGAAGTTGATGGATTCTACAAAAGAAGAAAATGAAACTGGCCGCCGAGGATCGTTCTTTTCATAGAACTTCACATGTTTACGTTTATTCGCTCGTTCTCCAACGTACCCTTTTCTCTCAAGCTACTTATTTGCCGTGAAATTAATTTTTTTTTTCTCACCCGTAAGTTCTTTTCTTTATTCTGGAAACTGTAACTTTTCAGGACCATTTTAACGACCCAAGA